TAACTTGTTGCCTTTCTAGCACAGATACCGGTCCTACAAATCCGTGCAATACTGTGCAGATAGCAGATGAGTTGTGGACACTAATGAGCAAATCATCTTTGGTGAGAATTGTTACACTTTTTTTTAGCTAAATTGGTATTTTTTTCTTGCCTTTTCATCTGCCCATATTTTACACCGCATCTTTATCCAAGAAATCATTTTTTTTCAGGAAACACGTGTACGGATGCTATTGATGGACCTCTACTTCTCCCTCTACGGGATGGCCACCCCATTTGTAAAAGGCGGCCCAGCGATGATTTCTGGCCATCAACGATCAAAACGGCGCCAACCTGATAGCAGGTCGAGTGTCCTAGGGTGGCATAATGAGATCCTCGATGGGGATCAGCCACCTTCACCAGAATCTAGGTCCTTCAGCGAAGATATTGATATGTTACAGTAGGTAATTAACGTCAGAGATTTATGACTTTTGTGATAAATGAAAATCGATGAATGTTATTTAGTTGTTCAAGATCTCTTAATCGGTGAGCTTATTTGTATTTACTTATCGCGCCATTGCTTAGTACTGTTTGTTTCCGCAACGAAGAAGTGCCCTCCATCCAATTTGCGTTCTTCTTTTTTCCCAGACAGCTAGTTAATTTTAATGATATGTTATCATGTAAATATTCATGCCTTCCAAAGATAAAGCTTGAACACATGCGTACCCTTTAGGGCCTTTCGGTTATGTCCTCATATTCTTATGGCGGTTCATATTATGGTTAAATTAAGGGCATCTTTCCAGTGTACCCAGCGCCCATAGAAGTTCTAGATAAGAACCATGTCATCCACTGAGCCATCTACGTCATCTAGCCGTGGAGATGATACTGCTAGTGGAACGGAGCTAGAAGGGATGACAACTTTTGTGGCAGCCGACCTCGAGGAAAGAATTCGCGAGAGTTGTCGGATGTCTGGAAGTAATTGTGATTCTCCTGATGACGCAGGACCAATAGTGCCGGATCCTAGGGTAGGATTGCGATTATCCTTGTTTTTATTGTAAACGTTTTTATATTGGTTTATAGATTCTCGATGACTTAGAAGTTCATGCGAAAGACGCTGCGGCAAACTTAGATACTGTCTTAAGAGATTTGAGGTGGATTGTTGTATGAAATAGTAAAATTTTAAATTTTATTGGTGTTGAGTGCATACTTTCTCACTCTAACTTCATCTTTATAGAGGTTCTCTGCATGGAATGGGAGATTTGACCTTAGAATCAATCCAATGCTATAATACAGCCATAGCAAATGCTTGTGATGTAGCGGATGTTAATATAAAGTCAACATATTCGGTATCTTTTTCAGCTTCCCCTCCTTTGTTGTCTTCGGCATAATCTATTTTGACAATGAAAGTCGAAAATTTACATT